CTGCTACTAATAAAAAATAAATAATACAAGCCTGGAATGATTATTCAACAATCTGAAGATCTCTACTTCCAGAACCATTTTACAGTAGTGAGTCCCTATTATAGACCTATATATTTGGATTACCATATACTAATGCATTTGTTTAACTTCTCATGTTTTCCTATTATTAAGAAAACTGAATTAAAAGTTAATAATTTAATTCTATCATTTGGCATCATATAAGTTTTGATTAATAAGAGAGATTGGCATCTGTGGGCTTTTTTGTTTTTGTTTTGGATAAATAATGTAAAATGAAGCATTTTACATTTATGATGCATTTCCTCCAATACTCATTAAAAATAATCTGTGTTTTGCATCAACTTTATAGGAAAACTGTATCTAAATCCTATATTTGGAGAAATTGGTTGAAATAAGGGACAAGTGACACAAGCAGAAAATATGATGTCCACCAGGTGTTTTAGATCTAATTCTTAATACTAGCAATGTTGGATGGGGCTGACTGATGTTGGTTAAAATGTCAGACTGCTTAACCTTGGCAGGTAAATAAGCAGTTGGGTAGGTGGTCAGAAAGAAGTAAGCTAATTCAAGGAGAGAAACTGCTAGCACAGGGATTAGAATGCAGTACTTTAGGCTACTGCTGCTGACTGCCGGATGACTACAATTTGGCAGTTCAAATCCCACCAGGCTCAAGGTTGACTCAGCCTTCCATCCTTCCAAGGTGGGTAAAATGAGGACCCAGATTGTTGGGGGCAATACACTGACTCTGTAAAACACTTAGAGAGGGCTGTAAAGCACTGTGAAGTGGTATATAAGTCTAAGTGCTATTGCTATCGGGGGCACCCAAACATACTCCAAAATCTGGCAATGAAACCAGTTAGACTCCTCATTTGTCTTCATCTGATCCTCTAAGAACCCACAGAACAGTGTTTCTCAAAATTGGCAATGTCTAGACATGTGGACTTCAACTCCCAGAATTCTCCACTCAGCAATTTGGCTGGGGATTTCTAGGAGTTGGAATCCATGTGACTTAAACTTGCCAAGTTTGTAAAAACACTGCTGTAGAATTTTTAGGAAAAACAAATGCCAATTTTAAGGAGGTTCGAGGTGCTTTTTTAACGCTGCTGCCCGAGTGCAATATTGCATTTGATGACTTTATCAGTAGTCTTCAGACAACGCTAAAAACGCTTAACTAAATATCAATGTAAGTAGAAATTATCCCAAAGAACCAAAATAACCTCATCATACTCATGAAGGTTGCCTATTGAGGGAGGTCAAAAACAGAAGATGGCAACCACAATGAAGCCGTGCCCTTTGTTAACCTCTGCTGCTTGCATAAATTCTGTGCCCCAACCATATGCATACATTTCATTTTGTTTCTTTTGTGCCTGAGGCTACAAAATGAAAAGGCAGACTGCTAAATGTTCATGAGTTTTAGTAGGTCATCTTTGTATGAGTAATCTGACACTCTCACCAGGGTCGTTTTGTCATTCGAGACAGCAAAGAAATTGCACAGGCAAAGAATAAAGCAGCTGGAGATGGATGGATGGATGAATGAATGGATAGATGATAGACAGGCAGATGATAGCAAAAAATAAAATTGGGGAGGAGAAGCAGAAGGGTGGAAGACACTGGCGTCTCTATTTGTGAAATGACAGATGGCACCATTAATGGAACATAAAGATTATACATGTAGCCGCAGAATACACACTGAGCATTCCTAATTCAACTTCCAGCTTTGAAACAGGTCTAGGATTCTATGGTGCTATAATTCTTCTCTACTTAGAAATTCTCCCCCACCTGAATGATTTCATATAAACCAATGCAATCAATGGATATCAGTGCTCCTGCTACTTAAATCCAACCATTGCCGTACCATGATAGATTAACATACACTGGACAGCTATTTAAATTTATGTTATAATTATATCAGCCATCCATCAATTATAAGCCATATATCAGATAACAGATAATAGATAATCAGAGTTGGAACCCCCCACCCAAGCGGGAGACCCAACACCATTTCTGACAAATGGCAGTCCAATCTCTTCTTGAAGGTCTCAAGTGATGGCACTCCCACAACTTCCGAGGGCAACTTCTCTTCCATGGGTTGATTGTTCTGTCAGAAAACTTCTCATTTCCACGTTGAATCTCTCCTTGTTCAGTTTCCATCCATTATTCCTTGTCTGGCCTTCGGGTGCCTTGGAAAATAGCTTGACCCCTTCCTCCTCCCTGTGGCAGCCCCTCAAATATTGGAGGATCCTGGTCCTGTCTTCCCTGGTCCTTCTCTTCACTAGATTAGCCAAGCCCAGTTCCTGTAACCGTTCTTCATATGTTTTAGTCTCCAGTCCCCTAATCATCCTGGTTGCTCTTCTCTGCACTTTTTCTAGAGTCTCAACATCTTTTTTATAATGTGGTGACCAAAACTGGATGCAGTACTCTAGGTGTGGTCTTACTAAGGCTTTACAGAGTGGCATTAGTACCTCACTTGATCGTATCCCTCTGTTAATGCAATATTACAATTATAAGCCATCCCGTGATCAAAATTTGGGCACCATTTGGGCCTTTTCAGCTGGCTTTTAACTAAGTCAATGAGGAAAGTCGGATTTGTTTAATGACCACATGATTCATTTAACAACTGCAATGATTTGCTTGACAATCATGACAAAACAGGTCATAAAATCAGGCACTTAAGTACTGCTTTGCTTATCAATGGAGATTCTGCTCCCAACTATGGTCATGAGGAGGACTACCTATAAGCCCAAATGGATTGGGTTCACACACCACATGCTGTGCTATAAACCATGTTTCACCAATCATAACACCCAAGCGCATGCGGTCAGAAAAAGAGGCACCTGTGAGTTCAAGGCACCTATTTTAACTTTTAAAAATCCTGTCCTCCCTTTACTCCTATCCAAGATAAATACATAAATAAAAATGGAGAAGAGTTCCAACATTTCAGCACTAGTCAAGGAGCAGAGTTATGAGTACAACATCACCAGGTTTCCTCCGTTCCTTGGAGGTTGGGCTTTTCAAAGCGGAAAAATCTTCCAACGGAAAGAAATGGTCTGTTTCCAGATGTTGAGGGCTTGTTCCTTTGGCCTCTGGATAGAGCCAAACCTCTCTCTTCCAGAGGCTGCTGCTGCCTTTAAGGACCCATGAAGACTGGCTCTCAAAGGGAGGCAGATGTTCCATGGCAGGACAAAGCTTTTGCTAGCAGCCGCCTTTGTCTCCCTTGAGAAGGATGTTTCCCTCAATGAAACATATTTCGGATGCTCAAGTGCTCTCCTACAGCTGCCAAGCCTTTCCCAGTAAACAGCAGAATGCTGTGTGGAAAGAAACCCTGCAACCCTGTTTGGGAATGACTGCACAGAACAGCAAGAGTTAAGAAGCACTAAGGCAGCTTTCAAAGACACCTCCAGAGGTAACTGCGTCATCATCCGCTTTTGATGCCCCGATGCTCCTTCCTTCCTCCCTCCATCTTCCTGTTATGTAACCGTACTGAATGGCTTCCTCTGAAGCGTATCTTTCTCTAACACGTGACCACCCTGAGGATGGATAGGGCAAGACACAACAGATTCCCTGAACAATTGTGTAGCTGTCAGAACAAATCCCCAGCAATGTGAAGGCAGACTGGAAATGGGACTTAGCGTCCTCTGGTGCAGCTAAAAAGGGAAACGACTAGACTGGCTTTTGACGAGAAGCTCCATTGTCAGACTTGTTTTCAACCAAAATATATTTTATTTATCTTGCCTTTCGACCCTTCTTGCTGCATCCAGGGGTCCATTCGCAACCATTCCCGTTCTGGGGATTTTCCATAAAGGTTCTTACACAACCTCTCCAAAGGTAAACACGTTTCAGTCTGAGGAAGAACCATCTACCTTATCAAATATTTTAGGCTGCTGCTTGTTTGTTGTGCAACACAACTGTTGGATACATTCCTTCCTTCTGCACAATGCTCTTGAACAGACCGTTAAATGCTCCACAGCCTCTTCACTGGAGATTTTTAAGGAGAGATTGGGCAGCCATTTGTCTGAAATGGTGTAGTGTCTCTTGCATGAGCAGGGGGTTGGACTGTCTAGAAGACCTCCAAAGTCGCAACGTTTTGTTATTCTCTTTCAAACCACATCCTAGGCCATAATGTTCCTTGCTTGGCTTCAGTGTAGTGTGACGTGCGAATCCAGCCATTCTAAGTCATGGTTTACACAGCTTAGCATCTTATATTTACCTGGCAAATTATGGTATATTCTATTAACCATAGTTAAAACAAGCCAAAGTTTAGTCCAATCAAAACTGGGCTTTTTGTTCAGCCAGAGCCCATGAAGGTTCTGTTGACCATCTCCAAAGCTAAAGAGTTTGCATGGAAGCAGAACAAGGAAGGAAGCAATATGGTCTTTGCAGATCACAGCTGGCAGTTGAGTTCTATAGAGTACAAGCTTAAATGTCTAAACAATGTACAAAGGAAGTCCATGCAAAATGCCTTCACTGGAGATTATCAGCAAAGCTTCATTAGATTGTTTTCTTCCAGAAATGGATCTATGCACTGCTTCTATGGAATCCAGAAACTTTGCCAAATTGTATATCTAACTTTCTGGGGAAAGTGGCCCATGCAGAATCAGTTTTCCAGAATAAACACCCCTCCTAGCAAACAGTCTTGCTTATTTTAATGACTTCTGCAATGGAAAATAATTTGCCAGATTCAAGCATTGTGTCAAGCCACAAGATAGTTTGGCTTAATGTGCATAAGGCCAGCTCTCTGGTTTGCAAACTGCTTTGTGAACACAGCTAATTATGGTTGACTCGAAATCTGTATTTAACTTAAGTCTGGGGAATGTTTGAGCCCAGAATGGATGAACTGGTGGCCTCAAAAATAACCACTTGATCCAGTTTGATTTATTCTGTCAGGACTGAATAGCCTGCACACTGTCTTGTCCCAGGCTGTGGGTATAGAGTGTGGTTGAAACAGCTGGGGTAGTTTAGCCAAAGCCTTTGAATCAGAGAACAGTGTTTCATTTTTATTTATTTTAGAAACGTGTACAGCTGCTCAACTCTACGATGACTCTGGAAGTGTACAATAAAAGCAATCATATAATACAAGTGAACCCTACCCCTCACCCGCAATGCCAGAAGGAAAATAACCATTAAAAGACAATCAAACACATAGAGGCTGGTACTGCCTCTAACCCAAACCCTGGAGAAAGTGTCAGGTTTTCAGAGGACTTTTTGAACATGGCTAAAGTAGAGGAGAGAGAAAAGGTGTTCCATAGTCAAGCGCTGTGATGGAGAAGATATGTTGAAGATACTGCTTAATGGATGACCTGGAACATGGTCACTCTGTCCACTTATCCAGGCTGGATGCAAGCCACAGAAGTCTGATGGTCCTTTAGATCAGGGGTCTCCAACCTTGGCAAATTTAAGACTTGCGGACTTCAAATTCCAAAGTGTCTTAGCCAGCTTTGCAAAGCTGGTTGAGGAACTTTGAAAGTTGAATTCCACAAGTCTTAATGTTGCTAAGGCTGGAGACCCCTGCTTTAGATAACCAGGCCCGATGCCATGAAGGGTTTTAATGATAACAACCAGCACTTTGAACTGCATGTGGAGGAATTATACGTACGCTGTAGTGTAAGGTAGCCTGCTCGTCTGAAGTACATCAGACCCTGTTCTAGAGCAGGGATGCCCAACCGAGGCAACCTTAAGACTTGTGGACTTCAACTCCCAACTCTCATGCTGGCTGGGGAATTCTGGGAGTTGAAGTCCACAAGCCTTAAGTTGCCCAGGTTGGACACACCCCTGCTCTACAGTCTGTAGTACGTCAGAGGCTGAGCTGGCTGTGGAAAGACTCAATCTGGCCAGCCAGGGTTGTATAAGCTGCTTGACTGTGAATAGCAGAGCAGATTCTGCCTTCCCGCTTCTTTCTTATCCCCAAGGGTTGCCCACAGAGGCCCACAGCAATTATTGCTGCTACGCTGCAGCCGTTTGCACCCAAACAGATCCTGATGAGATTCCCATTGCTGGAAGAAATGCTGGAAGAAATTCATTCATATTCTCTCCCTCTCCTCTCTCTGTATCGCTCTCTCCCTCTCCCCCCTCTCTGTCTCTCCCTCTTGTAGAGTTGTAATTGCAGGAATGTTCCTATCTCGGATGGCAAACCTCAGATAAAGAATGTTTACAAGTAATTACAACTCAGGCAAACAAAGTCACTAATCTAAAGGAGGATTAGAGAGAGGAAGTAAACATATGTTAGACTTTAACTAGAGATAATTGTGTTATTTACTATGCTAAACAGTAACGAAAGTTAAGCAGTAACCAAAGTTAACCAATGATTGAGGATAACTAAAAATGTGTATAAATGCAAGACTAGACTCCAATAAAGTTCATCATGATTCAGTTGATCATGATCAAACAACTCGACTGCCTCGTCATTACAACACCCTCTCCCCTTCTCTCTGTCTCTCTGTCTCTCTCTTCCTCCCTCCCTTTCTCTCTCTCATGCTTACAACTCCAACTTTCTTGCCAGGAATAGGTTGGGGTACAGCCTAAGACCTCCAGGAGGTTCTTCTGAGGTGGTGAACTTAGAAAAGGTAGCAACAGCCTTAGGCCGACAATCATTTTGAATGTTGCTTCTTCCATTTTAATATTTTGGAATTAACTGTGCAGCAGCATTCAAATTTTACATTTAAAAAAAGTTTCAAGAGCAGTCTGCTTGGGTGAGCATAATATAGAGTGGGATGTGCATCATCTGAGGTGCGAAAATGGAATTGCAGTTGCAAACCTGGCCTATCGGAAAGCTTGCATTGAACAGAAGATTAAAGCTTTGATGCTCAGACCTCCAAATGATTAAGCTCTTGCTTCGTGTACGTTCTTTACAGATTTTCTGCCACAACATCATTGGGTTGGTATATTCCTTCTTTCCAGCCCTGCCAAGGTAGTTGAAAAGGAATGATCTTTTCAATCCAGCTTTATAGCTGCAATTAATAGCTTTAAACTACGGTAGATCTTCCTTTTCTGGTTCTCTCCCAAGTTCGAAAGGGATGCCATCAGGATAGCAGGCAGCAGATTCTAGGCTGTGAGGTTGCAGTTTCGCTGCTACATTTTACTTTAAAGTGCAAGCAGATTTCCCTGAGGATAACACTTACTTCCATTTCTTCATTCACAATTTAGATCCATCTTTTTCTTTTTTTTTTTTTTAAAACAAGTTTTATTAAAAGTTTCAACAACAAACAAATCATTACATATTGAATCTTTCCCTGTTTTTCTACAATAATTTCCCCAATATTCTCATAAAACACAAACAAACACAAACAAACATAAAAAAAATCTTTTAGTAAAGTACCTTGGCCCCAGTTACCTCTCTTTGCATGGGCTAAAATAATAACACATATCACTCTTCACATTTCTATCTTATTTAATCCATCTTAATTAAATCATTAAATTGTATCTTTTGCCCATTCATTTATCCCTCTATCTCTTCTTATAATAAAAGAAAAAATTTCTCCTGAAATCACTAATCAGAGTATGATGCCTTTCTATCCTCCCCCTAAATTAGTAAAATTAACATTCAACATAACAAATACCCAATTTGGTTCTGCTTGGTACATTCTATCCTCCAAAAATGTTTAAATACATTGTATCCTCCTTTCCTTCGATATTTTATTACATTTTAAGAATCAATCATTAATAAAAACTTCAACATTTTAATTTCTTATTAAATCTTAAAGCATTCTAATTTACTATTTCAAATATAAATGTTACAATACCATCTTCTGTACCTTAGCAGAATCTTTCTTACAGAAAATTATATTTCATCCTTTATCTCTAAAAAAAATCCCTCTTCTCCCATCCAATTTTAAAGCTTTGAGGCTTTTCTCCGCCTTTCCCCTTTCTTTCTTCCCCCACCAAATCTTCCTACCCCCCCTTCTTCTTCTAACCTCTGCCTTGCTGGGATCCCTTCTCTGTTGCATTCCCTTTTTCTCTTGTTTGTTATCATTATATTTACTTTGCATCATATTTTTCTCTTTCTCAAATGTTTTTTTAGATCTTAAGTCCTTCATTTTCCTTGCTCTCTTCCTTCCTTCTTCCTTAGATAAGTTTTGGAATTCAATGAAGATGGCGTCTTCGTCTCTTCCTTGTTGTTCTTCTTCCATTTCCATCTGTTCCATTGTCTGTTGGTAATTGACCAGCGCCATTTCTAGAAATAGAAAAGCTTTTTCCATGCCATCTTTGCAGATTGCTTTTGTTTGCTCATATTCATCCCTCAGGTCTTCAAAAAGGAAAGCCATTATAAATAAGTCTTTTCTTTTCTTTATTCCTCTTTCTTCTTACACCAACCAAATATTCCGAGAGAAAGGCAAAACAATCCCAAAATCCACAATCCTCAATAAATCCAAGCAAGCCAAAATTCCCCCTTCCTCTTCCAGGGGTGGTATCAAACAAATAAAAAAAAAAAGAATCCAAGTCTATATTTTAAAGCCTTATTAAGATTGTATTTCTGTCCTCAAGTCTTCAAGGCATCTCCTCCAACAAGATCCAAATTTATATATTTTCTTTATCCTCTCCCTTCCGGCTTAATTCCGTCGGGAGGGAGAGTAAACTTTCCCTTCAGCACCTCAAAACAGCCGCTTTTTTTTCTCTTGTGGAAGAAATCATCAGAAAACCATCTTTTCCAGGAGTTAAATTAAATAAATCTCAAAGCCCTGGGTCGACCAAGAAGAACTTTTACTTTCAATAACTTTCTCTTCTTCCTCCTGCGCATACTTGCCCGGCTGTCAACTTCTTTGTGGCGGCCATTACGGACCGCCGCTGCACCGTCCTGGTAACAGGGGGTTCTGCCGGCCAGGGAGGGGGTCTGCAACACCCCCAAACCCTTCCTCCGGATCCCCCTTACCTTCAGCTACCCCTGCAGGGCAGCCTTGCTCCGCACCCGTCCGGGTCGAAGCCCCAAAACGGCTAGCGCGGCAGGGATCGCGCAGCTTCGCGAATCCCTACCGCTCGCGAAGCCGACAAACCGGAAACTGCGATCCATCTTTTTCTTAAGCTCTTGCTGTAGTCCTGGTAGAAGGAGAAGCACATTTAAGGCACATTTAAGGCAACTGTTTCTAAGCCGCAGATGCTTCTTAAAGAAGTGAAGCCTTCATAGCAGGAGATCTCAGGAACATGTCCATCATCATGAAGAGCAATTCTGCAGAATGTCCAACATCTGGAGAGCAATTTTATATCAAAGATGCTTTCCATCCCTTCAAAGGAAGGGGAAAAAAAACAAATCCAGAAGATGCCCCAAAACAATTGGGAAGAGATATTTCTTGCTTAGAGGCTAGACTTTGCCAAGGGGCTATCCGGGACCACCGAGCTGCCTATGCCTTCCAGAAGATTATCCCACTGGTCAAAATCTTCTTTGAGTTCTAGATGGAGAAAGCAAAGTGTTATTGCATCAAGAGGCTATGGTGCGAAGCTCTAAAGTCTAACTGTTGTCATCCTCACCATTTTTGAGTCTTTGAGTACATTATGCTGTGAAATTCAGTAGGGGATAAGAGCACCTTTCCCATCAGGTGACCTCTTTGGAAATTTAAAGGCATCTTGTTGTACTTTCTAGAAATAGCATGGAAGGGTTTGCCCATTCATAAAAGAGTTGCTGTGCCATGCAGAGTAAGCAGACCAGAGGTGGTATTCAGCAGGTTCTGACCAGTTCTGGAGAACTGGTAGCGGAAATTTTGAGTAGTTCAGAGATCCGGCAAATACCACCTCTGACTGGAGATTTTACAGTATCCTTCCCCTGCCACGCCCACCAAGCCACGCCCACAGAACTGGTAGCAAAAAAATTTGAATCCCACTACTGAAGCAGATACACTTAGGAGAAGGCAAACTGGTGAAATGGTGGTACCTGGCTCAACAGCAATAACTGTGAGAAGGATCTTGGAAGTCCCAGTGGACAATCCCTTAAACATGAGCCACTAGTGTGCTGCAGCTGCAAAAAAAAGCCAATGCAGTCCTAGGCTGCATTAACAGAGGGATAGAATGAAGAACACGTGAAGTGCAAAGGTGGTACTCAGCAGGTTCTGACCAGTTCTGGAGAACCAGTAGCGGAAATTTTGAGTGGTTTGGAGAACCGGCAAATCCTACTTCTGACTGGCCACGCCCCCATCTATTCTCCGCCTCCCAAATCCCAGCTGATCGGCTGGGTTTTCTTTTGTTGCCCTGCACAGGAGAACAGAGCTGGAAAGCAGGTTAGTGGGGTGGGAGGGAATGGGATTTTGCAGTAACCTTCCCTCAGGAGTGGGAAGGGAATAGAGATTTTGCAATATCCTTCCCCTGCTACGTCCACCAAGCCACACCCGCCAAGCCATGCCACGCCCAAGCCACATAACTGGTAGTAAAAAAAAATGAATACCACCATTGAGAAGTGTTAGTACCACTTTATAACGCCTTAGTAAGACCACACTTGTAACACTACTCTACATACAGTTTTGGTCAGCACGCTATAAAAAGATGTTGAGCTGTGGTGAGATTCAAATATTGTTGCCACCGGTTCGGTGGGCGTGGCTTTGTGGACACGCGTTGCGTGCGTGCACACACTTGGCGCACGCCAAATGCGCATTTTGCGCAGGCGCAGAGGCATTTGCGCAGAGGCGTTCTAACTTTGCCTCCCGCAAGCCTGCACTGTCCTGGTCGCTTCAGCAGCTGCTGCGTGGCACTCTTCTGTGGCAGCTGCGCTTCAAATTCAGCAGATAAAAGGGAGTATAGGAGCCTGGGCGGGTGGGTGGGCCCAACAGCAGAGCGGTGGAGAGAATCTGTTTGGTCTCCACTGTTCGTTGCTCCTACTGGCTCATCACAACTGGCCAGAACCGGTCGAACACCACCACTGATGTTGAGACTCTAGAACAGGGGTGTCCAACCTTGGCAACTTTAAGACTTGTGGACTTCAACTCCCAGAGTTGAAGTCCACAAGTCTTAAAGTTGCCAAGGTTGGACACCCCTGCTCTAGAAAGAGGGCAGAGAAGAGCAACAAAGACGATTTGGGGACTGGAGGCTAAACCATACGAAGAACGGTTGCAGGAATTGGGCATGTCTAACCCTAATGAAAAGAAGGACTAGGGGAGACATGATAGCAGTCTTCCAACATCTAAGCAGCTGCCCCAAAGAAGAGGGAGTCAAGCTATTCTCCAAAGCACCTGAGGGCAGGACAAGAAGCAACGGGTGGAAATTAATCAAGGAGAGAAGCAACCTGGAACTAAGGAGGAATTTCCTGATAGTTATAACAATTAATCCATGGAATGACTTCCCTCCAGAAGTTGTGAATGCTCCAACGCTGGAAGTTTTTAAGAAGAGATTGGATGGCTATTATCTGAAATGGTGTAGGGTTTCCTGCTTGTGCAGGGGTTGGACTAGAAGACCTCCAAGGTACCTTCAAACTCTGTTATTCTGTTATTGGCTCTTCTCAGACCCCACCCTGAATGCTGCCCACTAACCTAGTTTGATTTTGCCTTTTATCTGACGGGTGTCTTGTTCTTTATAGGATGATGATGTCTCCTTTAGAGGAAGAAACAACTTTCACGCTATTGACTTACGGAGATGCTTTTGCAAGAAAGCGAGAGCAGCCTGGTTGGTGATATTCAGGCCTTCGTAGGGATCAATGGTACCCCTTGTCTTGTAGAGCCGGTTGACAAGGTTCCCGGCAAAGAAGGTGAAATCAGTGTGGCTCTGGTGGATGGTACCCCTAGGAGGAAAAACGTATCAGTGTCAAAAGTGAATCACTGAGAAGAACAGGGTCCAAAATGGATCCCCATGTCCAAAGATTGGACATCTCCCAGATTTAGCAATTCAACATCTGCTGTGAAAGTCTACATCCAAGGTGTGATGACCCAGGGTGGGATACAAAAGCAACAAAGTCACAACAACAGATGAAGTCCCTTTAATTCCTTCAACTTGGCTTCAAAAGGTCCAATTATCATTGACTGGAGAAAAAAACTCCCCCACAAACAGTTGCGAAAAGGAAGACCTTCTGTTCAAACTCAAAATACATATAAATTATAAATAGAAAAAAACAACACAAACCACACTGAAGAAATTAATGAGAAAAGGCAGGATAAGGGCTTGAAGACATCCACAGACATTGTAATACACACACTGGGAAGGACGCCAGAACTCAGGTAAGAACTGACAAACTAGAAATATTTTCACGCTTTGCTTCCAGCACTAGCCCATGCGCAGTTTGTCCTTTTAAACAGTCCTCATAGCTGCAGCCCATGAAGGGGATCAAGGCCCTTTCCTCCCCCGTAGACCATGCCATTCACATTTCTCCCTTATCCACTCCTCCCTGTGTGCCCTAGGATGAAGAGGGGATGGGCTATGCTGGCTGGAGAAATCTGGGAGTTGAAGTCTACAAGTCTTAAAGTTGCCAGGTTTGGGGACCCCTGATCTATGCAATAAAAGAACACCCAGTAGGCAATTTGGAGTTTCAGAAGATACTGTGAAATCCAGTGCCTTGAAAGAGGACTTAACGATTGGAAATGTCCAACTTTTCTCAACTCTCAGCATGAAACTCCCAGGTTTGAAGGCAGCCTAGCTTCCAAGCATTTGCCTTGGAGAGCAATGGAGGGAAACTGCCTTATGTCCATTTCTGGTGCTTTGTGAAACAAAAGAAAACACCTCAGCAGTAACAGACACCCCTTTCGCCAATGCTAGTGGTAGAGTTCTTTGGGAACGGCGGGAGAGATTAGACAAAACACTGGGTCTGATTTAGCAGAGCTTAAAGGAAAAAAAAGAGAGAAAGATAAAGCGGTCTGTTTTTCTCATCTTCACACAATCATCCATTGTCTGCAGATAAAAGCAACTCTATAAGGGATTTCTGGACCAGGGATTCTGACTATTTAGCAAGATGACAGAGATTTATTTTCCCTTCCTTCCTTCTTCAAAATTCATCCAAAAAAGCTTTGCCAGTGCTATTTTAAGACGCAGACCTGATGCTGCCTTTGCATCCCTGTCTGAAATGAGCGTCAAAGCCATTCTACAAGAGTGTCATTCTTCAATACTAGCACGGGGAGGGGGGAAACACACACACACACACACACAAACCACACAGACACACCCATCTGGTAACATCTCCCTTTCGAAAGCTCTCAGTTTTAAGGGGTTGGTTTGCATTCATTTCACCTCCCGAGTCAAAAGGATTCTCTGGTTTTGGGCTATGCCAAATCCCAAATTAATTTTATGCAACTTATCAAAAAAGAGGCAATCTTACAAGGACACGACCCTGTTGGCTTTGCTAATCCATGCTGTTCTTTGTTGCTTACCATCTTTTTCTTCCTGATTTCTCCCCTTTTATTCCCCTAAATGGTCCCTTCCACTTCTCATTCCAGATACCACCTTATTTTTAACCTCCCCCCCCCCCCCCCCCACTCATTCCTTGTGTCACATCTTCTTAGACTGCAAGCCTGCAGGGAAAGGCTGTGTGTGTGTGTGTGTGTGTGTGTGTGTGTGTCTCCAATCTGTGAATGACACCTTCTCTGATTGGGTATTCTCTACTACTACGGCAAAGGCGTTGATCACAGTTGGAGCCCAGGCAGACTCACAGGATTGTAATGATCTTGCTTTCACTGCTGGTGGCGTTGATTTTTTTCATCTTGGCCACGCTCTCTGCAGTCTGGAACGACTCTGTGTTGATAAACAGCACCGGCTTGGTCACTTTTGGGTAAACAGAATTCTCCAAAGGGAACATCCATGCATCAAGGGCAACAGCGCATCTACCGGACAAAAATAAGCACAGGGCACCTAGTGAAGCAGGAGTCCAACATCTCGGCTTCCCACATAGCAATAGACTTATATACTGCTTCACAGTGTTTTCCAGCCCTCTCTAAGAGGTTTACATAGTCAGCCTGTTCCCCCCATCAATCTGGGTCCTCATTTTACCCACCTCAGAAGGACGGAAGGCTGAGTCAACCCTGAGCCACTCAGAATTGAACTCCTGACAGTGAGATATCCTGCAATACTGCATTCTAACCACTGCGCCACCATGGCTCCTTTGTTTGTCATTTATTTTTTTGATTTGATTTGATTTGATTTGATTTGATTTGATTTGTCAATCGCTTACCAGGTAATAGGTATAAGTATAAACATGAGTAAGAATACAGGAAATAAATACGAATAAATGGGGACAATAGAACGGGGACAGTAGGCACGATGGTACACTTATGCACGCCCCTTACAGACCTCTTAGGAATGGGGTGAGGTCAATAGCGGATAGTTTATGGTTAAAGGAGTGGGGGGTTAGCAGATGTAACCACAGAGTCAGGTAGGGCATTCCAGGCATTGACCACTCCGTTGCTGAAGTAGTACTTTCTGCAATCGAGTTTGGAGCAGTTTACATTGAGTTTGTATCTGTTGTGTGCTTTTGTATTGTTGCGGTTGAAGCTGAAGTAATCATTGACTGGTAGGTCATTGTAGCAGATAACTTTGTCTATTACGCTTAAGTCCAACCGTAGGCGGCGTAGTCAAGGTTGTCCAAGCCCAAAATCTCAAGCCTGGTGATCTTTTGAGTTTGCAATTCTCTTTTAAAAAGAAGAAATTGTGGAAGATACTCACTTAAATTGGGCTTCTTTGACCAGAGCTAGCACTGCTGTGGCGCCTCCAAAAGAGTGACCCATGACAACGGCTTTGGTCAGATCCACATTATCCTGCAAGGGGTAGGGTGAGAACACTTTTAGGAAGCCAGCTCATTAATATCACGGCCCAAGAATCTCCAAACTGGACGATGCTGGAAGGCTCCAGGGATGGTGACCAAATTTGCCATTCTGCTACTGGGAACTGCAGCTCCCAAGAAGCCCAGCCAGCTGTCCGTTACAGATAGTCCTCAACTTACAACAGGTTGCTTAGCAACTGTTTGCAGCTACCATCTGCCTGAAAAGGGAACTTAAGGCCCAGATCCGATGTCCCAACAGTTGCCCACCCCAGTCATGCGACTGTATTCAGTGCTCAGCAACAGAATTGCATGGTGGTATTTGTAGTATCCCACAGTTACGTGACTCTTACTACCGTTTTCTCAAAAACCTGAACTTACTTCCTGTTTTCTGCAAAAAGCATGACCATAGTGAATCATTGGTTCACTTAATTGCTGTGTTTGCCTGAGTGCTGCAAAAAATGTCTTACAAAAAATCGATTTGACCAACATAAAACCCTGTTTTATGACCCTTATGACTTAGGCTCTATTACAGTTGTAATAAGGACGACCTATAGTGAGGAATGTTGGGAACTGTACTTAGGGAAAACCTCAATTAATGGCCATCCATTTACAAGAACAAGGGGAGATCTAGGGTTCTATCAATAATAGGATCTCTCATTTTTATGGAAAAGAGAGAACCATTATATCCCCAACCCATTTCAAATTTTCCATAGGAAAAAATCCAGAGAATTATACTACAACAATTCTGTAAAGCATCAGGTCTGTGAAGGCTGAAGCTCATCTGCCAGCTGTCAATATTGTACTAATAATTGGTGGTTTACACAATGTCTTTATGCACATTTACATGCACATAAATACAAGTCTATACATTCCAAGCGAAAGTTCAAAAAGCTGTCTCTAAATTCCTTTTAATCTTCATCCTTTCTCTTAGAAATTATAGTTACCAAGGCATTGACAAAATCCCCATCGGTCAATTGCAAAAGGCAGCTTTACTTGGAACAGCTTACATTCTGAGATGATACCTTTAACATCACCAAACAACATTTGTCTATCCCAGATACTTGGGAAGGATTCAACAGGTGGATAAAAGTGCCAAATCTAAGCATCTGGCTGGCTGTGCAACCAACAACAACAATAATAATAATACTGTGGAGTTCTTGGTGCCCTCTGAACTTGTTGGTTTACTTGCAGATGTTTCATAACTGGCAAACCGTACTCAACGAGTAGTCCTTCATGGGTCTAAGTCTACATGGAGAGAAGTAAGCAGTGGGGTGCCACAAGGTTCCGTCTTAGGCCCAGTACTCTTCAATATCTTCATTAATGACTTAGATGAGGGAATAGAAGGGGAACTTACCAAATTTGCAGACAATACTAAGCTGGCAGGAATAGCTAACACCCAAGAAGATAGGCTCAAGATCCAGATAGATCTTGACAGACTAGAACACTGGGCCGTATCTAACAAAATGAAATTCAATGTAGAGAAAAGTAAAGTCCTACACCTAGGCAAGAAAAACCAAAAGTACACCTATAGACTGGGTGAAACCAGGCTCAATAGCAGGAACTGTGAGAGGGATCTTGGAGTCTTAGTGGATAACCAGCTAAATAGGAGCCAGCAGTGTGCAGCAGCCGCCAAAAAAGCTAATGCAATCCTAAGTTTAACAGAGGGATACAGTCAAGATCAAGGGAAGTACTAATACCACTCTATAAAGCCTTAGTAAGAATACTGCATCCAGTTTTGGTCACCACATTATAAAAAAGGTGTTGAGACTCTAGAAAAAGTGCAGAGAAGAGCAACCAGAATGATTAGGGGACTGGAGGCTAAAACATACGATGAACAGTTGCAGGAACTGGGCTTGGCTAGTCTAGTAAAGAGAAGGACCAGGGGAGACATGATAGCAGTCTTCCAATATTTGAGGGGCTGCCACAGGGAGGAGGAAGGGGTCAAGCTATTTTCTAAAGCTCCTATAGGCCAGACAAGGAATCATGGATGGAAACTGAACAAGGAGAGATTTAACCTGGAAATAAGAAGAAACTTTCTGACAGGGAGAACAATCAACCAATAGAACAGAAGTTGCCCTCGGAAGTTGTGGGAGCGCCATCACTCGAGACTTTCAAGAAGAGGTTGGACTGCCATTTGTCAGAAATGGTGTAGGGTCTCCCGCTTGGGTGGGGGGTTGGACTAGATGACCTACAAGGTCCCTTCCAACTCTGATTATCTATCTATCTCTAACTAGATAACATCATCACTTACCTAGTTGGATAAGGAAACACCTGCAAGCAAACTACCAAACTCAGTTCAACCCTGAGCTACAGATATTCTCTTCTATGCTCATCCTCAACGTCTCATTTCTTTTCTGGTTGTGTTGTCATATACTTTCCATGTGCACAGATGGGTTCACTTTCTATGAGAAGAACAGGTCCTGGCGCCCCCTGGTGGCTGGCTGAAATCACAGGATTCCTTTGGGATTGAGACACAGCAGCAGTTGCAACCTCCGGTTTGGATGTATAAACTTGGGGGAACTGCCCCGGAAGGGGGAGGTAAGGCTATAAAAAGATGCAAGCTCCTTCTCTGCCAAAAAGGTGGGCAAGTCAGCTTTAAAACAAAAGCAAAATGTCTCAAATATCCAGGAAAACAAGTTTCAGATACAAGACAGAAAAAGCATTGATACAATAAAAGACACGAGCCACTCTTTTGAAGACAGCAAAATCCACATTTTGGACAGAGAGGCCCACTGGTTTGAAAGAGGGGTCAAGAGGCCACCTATGTCAAAATTGAACAGCCCTCTCCCAAGAGAGGGGGGGGGATACAACATTGTCTACCTCTTGTCTACAACACAGTCCTTTCAGCAGTTCCAAAAAGGCTTCACCCATTTGCACTACTAGGGTGACTCTGAGGACACACATTAACCTCCAGGTAGACTCAACAGTCCTCTAAAAGGATGCAAATGGCCAGCTGTCTTCAAGGAATATAAATCCTTCCATTCCTCATCATCCAGTCAGAACTGAAGAAGCTTCTTGGATGAGAAGCAAAACATCTTCAAAGAAAAAAAACAGGAAGTCCAGTTGCCTCCTGAAAAAAGCACCTTTGGGACAGGACCTGGATAACTGAGAATCTCCATAGACCAGGGATCTCCAAACTTGGAAACTTTAAGACGTGGTCTTCAACTTCCAGAACAAGTCTTAAAGTTGCCAAGTTTGGAGACCTCCGCCAGAGACCTTCATACAATAGTGCTTAACCTTGATAGATGTTTTCTAAAATTCTTTCCCCTTAGGAAGATCTCCATTGTGTCAGTGGGGGTTGGGGGATGGATGGGAAGTCCAACACGCCCACCTGACAAAAATAGCATCACGAGTCTCTCACCTCTTTCCTAAATCCATCTAAATATTGTGCATGTGTTCTAAAGGATTGGAGCCTGTAGAGCTCAGCATGTTTACCTTCAGTACAGAGAGGTCAAAATCCGTGCGCAGAAGGTTTGCAACGACCTTGCCACTGTTGATGCTTTGCATCAGCCTGTATGCCCGTTTGCACTCGTTTGCTCTTTGATGGAGCTGCAGTGAAAAAAGGTTTAAAATTACCCTTTGGTTCCTCAACCCTCTCTCTCTCACACACACACAGGGTTAAGCCCAAGAATACAGCAGGATGCAGAGAGAGTGTCAGGTTTCCAAGTCATAGATCCACAGCAAGCAAAACTCTGAGGCAGGTAGATTCCTCAAAGAATAGCTTTATGGGATATATCATATTGGCACAGATCTGGGGAAAACCGACTCTGAAAGTTCCTGCGGTTTTCACCTAAGTAAAAGTTTGTTACTTCCTCAAAACAGTCAGTCACATGGTCCAATCACGGCCCTGTCTGGTTTCCTGGTGACATCCCTCCTCCTTCCTCTGACCTGGTGTGAGAATGTCCTTGGTTCCCAAGAGAAAGTATTTTTATTTTGGCTACAAAGTCCCAGCTACCTCAAATATCCCCTCCCTGTCCCTCAAGTCCAGCGTTGCGACACTGAAGCTCCAAGATGGCTCCGGTCAGGTCAGCTTCAGGGTTGACAGAGAGATCAGATGAATGGATGAAGTTTGTGATATTCAAGACTGCTTTAAGCAGTGGTGGGATTCAAATTTTTTTTTTACTACCGGTTCTGGGGGCGTGGCTTGGTGGGTGTGGCATGGTGGGCATGGTGTGGTAGGCGTGGCAGGGGAAGGGTACTGCAAAATCTCCCTTCCCCCTTCCCCACCCCACTAACCTGATTTCCAGCTCCGTTCTCCTGTGCAGGGCAACCAAAGAAGACCCAGCCAATCAGTTGGGACTTGGGAGGCGGAGAATAGATGGGGGCGGGGACAATCAGAGGTGGTATTTGCTGGTTCTCCGAACTACTCAAAATTTCCACTACTGGTTCTCCAGAACTAGTCAGAACCTGCTGAATGCCCCCTCTGGCCTTAAGTTCCTTAAGTTTACTGTCTGAGATAGTCTAGATGAAATACCTGCGGGTTCCGGAATGGAAACTCCTTCTGATCTGTGGGTACCCTGCGGTAAGTGAGCCATTCTTCATGAATCGGAGCCTCGTGTAGATCTGGTGCTTCTGGATCCAGCTTGCAAAAATAAGTAGCAGAAGCTGACCGGTCCCTGGAAAGGGCAGGTATTTTGAGCATCAGCAAGAACAGACAGGAAAACAAAGAAGAAAAGGAAATCTTCAGTTCCTCTACTTTTTCTAAGCTCCTGCCTGAAGTCAAAAGTTTTCCAGTGTGTCATTACAATCTCTAACTCAGTTTTCCTCGGGCTCTATGTGACAACACTTTCCTGGAAAGGAGGGATGATCTAATCTTAGCTTCGTGGCGCTATAATTCTGAAATCAAAGAACACTTCAAGAAAGGGTTTCTGGAACTTGCGTCAGTCCTAGTATCTGTAGGTAGGGCAAATCATTAAATTACTGACATTAAAGGCGTTGAACTTCATAACTGATTGGTCCCAGCTCTCCCTTTCCTCAATTATTGATTGATTTGATTTTTATTCTGCCTTTATTACTGTAAAAGTAACTCGAGGCAATGAACATATGTAATATTTCTTCTTCTTACGAAACTGCACGAACAATTTCTTGAAGATAATGGCCACTAGTATCAAGAAATGAAATTTTAGGATAGACGCATCAAAGGCATATTTTTTATTAAAAAAACAACAACCCATCAATACATGAATCTAATCTTAAAATGTCTTCTCTAAAAGGATTCAGTCTCACCTGTGCTCAAGAGCCATCACCAAAAAACCCCGAGAAGCCATCTCAATACAGATGGCCGAGTATGCGGTTCTGAAAATTGAAGAAGAAAGCAGATAATTAAAACTGAGGAATGCTGCTTCTTTTAAATTATTTGGTACTGAAACAAGCACATCAGCAAAGATGAAGACAAAATAAGGGAGTAGTAGTGTCTGCAAAAATCAACATGGTGATTGTGATGGCACAATGGAAGTGCCACATGGATTTTAAGAGGATGATTGTTCAACCAGTTCCAGTGTTTCAGCTGTTTCTTGCAGATGTTTCCTTAATTAGGTATTCTCTAGCACTGGCTTTTTCAAACTTGACAACTTTCAGATATGTGGACTTCAACTCCCAGAATTCCTTGAAGTTGCCAAGTTTGGAAAACACTATTTTACCTCTAAGCAAAATGAAACTACAAGTTAATAGCACTTAGACTTATATACTGCTTCACAGTGCTTTACAGACCCCCCCACATACCACCACCTCTTACAATACTAGACAACACAGTATCAACAGTAGACCTTCAAATTTCTAGGTTCTACTATATCACATGACTTAAAATGGACACCTAACATCAAAAACGTCATCAATCAGAACCTGCTGAATACCACTTCTGCTAAAATAAACTTGAGTTTCTGTCATTCCTGGCTTGGAGCCAGGTTTGGAAGAAATACCCTTCTGGGTTCAGCTCCAAGTGGGGGAAAAGACACTGGATTCATGGAAGTTGCTTGCAAAGAAGGTTTACTGATGAACAGGATCACATGCCTTAGAGATCCTGGGCGAAGAAAAGGGAAGAGATGCTGGGAGTCCCTGGGTTTTATGCCCTCTGTTGGGATTTGAACTTCTTGAGGCACAGGAAGAGTACCCTGATTGGTTGTCAGACTCCCATGGGGCGATGCTGGGGTACCTTGGTTGAATCCTGCCGGGTGATGTAATCTTCCCAGGTGTCATGTGGTGAGATGGGTAGAGGGCTAATCCTATCATGTCCTGAGGGCCAGGTCTTAATCCCATCACCCTGGACCTGAAGGGAGGAGGGCAGGGAGCTGCTCTTTGTCCTTAAAACATGTTTCTCCTTTTCTCATCCAAGGAAATATAATATTCTACCTTTTTAAATATTTCCTAGAATATTTCATTCTTCTAGGAGAGGGGTGGATGCTAACCTTCTACACCAGCTTAGGGGAGAATCACCTGAGCCAAGTGAAGTCTACCTCAGAGCTCAGCGGAGGGGCATGTGCAGGAGGAAATTGGCCCTGGGAAGGGCTGAGGAAACATTCCTGTGTAAAACGTGGGAGAGGCAGCGACACTCGGGGCAGATCACATGAGCTCGGTCTATAAATATGTGTCTGTGTCGTATCTGACTCAACACTCCCCGAGGAAGGTGGGTCCTCCCGAGAGAAGACTTGGCAAGGATTTTTAGATAGTGAGCCGGTCCTCCTGCTTTGCATACAGCCTGTTGCACGTTCAGTTTTCTGCATCCTCTGGAAAGAACTTTGTTTCCTAGACAGTTTGGATCAGCCTTTTTAGATCGGAGATAATCGGTGCTCTACAGTGGTGGGATTCAAAATTTTTTACTATCAGTTCTGTGGGCGTGGCTTGGTGGGCGTGGCAGGGGAAGGATACTGCAAAATCCCCATTCCTTCCCCACCCCACTAACCTGCTTTCCAGCTCCATTCTCCTGTGCAGGACAACCAAAGGAGACCCAGCCGATCAGCTGGGACTCAATGGGAGGCAGAGAATAGATGGGGTTGGCGGGGCCAGTCAAAGGTGGCATTTGCCGGTTCTCTGAACTACTTAAAATTTCCGCTACCGGTTCTCCAGAACTGGTCCAAACCTGCTGAATACCACCTCTGCTGCTGCCCAAATTTAGTGACACAATCAGAAAGGAGGTTTGAAAATGGCAAAAAAAGACATCTGGACCCCGCTGATTATTCTGCTGATATCTACTGAGACAGAGAGAAGGAGATCAAGGGTTCTGCTATAAAGCAGACAAGAGGCATATAGGATCTACTAGATTTCCATGACTATCATTCAAGAATCTCAGACTCGTGTATCAACACCAGCATCCTCATCCTCGGCCTTTCTGGACGAGTTGGTTTTCCACCCTACCTATACAACTCACCGAAAGGCTCCTAGTCCGTGGGAGAATATGATCAATGGGTACTTGTGCGAACAGGGTCGGAAAGGCGCATCCCAGCTTACAGGGATCTTACACGATCCTGCAAAAATGAAGAGAATATTTGTTTATATATACAGGTAGCCTTGACTTAGGACCAAATTTATGTTGTTAAGTGAGAAATTTGTTAAGTGAGTCGTACACCATTTTAGGGACCTTTCTTGCCACATTTGTTAAGCGGATCACTGCAGTTGTTAAGTGAGTCAAATGGTTGTTAAATGAATCTGGCTCCCCCATAGACCAGAAGTCTCCAAACTTGGCAACTTTAAGACTTGTGGACTTCAACTCCCAGAATGCCAAGTTTGGGGACCCCTGCTGTAGACTTTGCTTGTCAGAAGGTCGCAAAAGGGGACCACATGACCCAGGGTCAGTGCAATTGTCATAAATGTGAGTTTGTTCAGTGCCGTCATAACTTTGAACTGTCACAAAATGAACTGTTGTAAGTCCAGGACTACTTGTATATGTATATATCTACTTGTATATTTCTTAACTGCCCATCTCTCTCGACAAAGATTACCTAAGATATTGTGTGTTCCCTTGCATTATAAAAATATGACTTTATCCAGGCAGTTATTGAGAAATTTCTAACCCACTTCCCTAAAGATGATAAACATGTTTTAAGAAAACATTGTTTTTTCCGTTGAACAAGGCCTGGAAAGTACAATTAGAAAGGAGGACTCTAGTTCAGTATGAACAAATTGAATTGTACAGTGAAAAGATGAAGACTTGTAAAACTGTAATATTGGAAACCAAAAATATTATCCTATTACTTGGCAAACTAGTTTGAAACACATGTCCAGAAGAGAAACATTAGGTATATACATATATAGATGTCCTTTAAATTTAAATAGTAAACATGGCAGGGAATTAAGCTAATTAGCTAATTCAATTCACTTATTTAAAGCATTTTTTTAAAAATCAAATACCTACTTTTGGTTGCCTGATGATTTTTAAAAATATGCTTTATGTGGATGAATTATTATTTGGAGGAGATATCAAGATCATCATACCACATTTATGGGACAATAGATAACATTTAACAATGAAAAAATATAAACATGATTTATTATGATCTGATATGATATTTTGCAATCAGCTAAAGGTTTTACATTGCAGGACAGTAGATCATAGATCATATCTGTGTTGTTTGAAGAAACGTCCCAATCTCAAGCTTGGTTAGACTCGTGTTTCTCAACTATGGTGGCTTTAAGATAGAGATCTCCAAACTTGGCAGCTTTAAGACATGTGGACTTCTGGGAGTTGAAGTCCACACCGTCTTAAAGTTGCCAAGTTTGGGGACCCCTGGTTTGAGACCTGAGGACTTCAACATGCTGGCTGGGGAATTTTGGGAGTTGATCCAAAGATCTTAAAGCCACCATGGTTGAAAAACAGTGGATTAGGCAGAAGAACAGCTGTCCACACAGGTTTTCACTCAGTAATTCACAAGAAGCAGTTATCTTACCAAATGTGACACTGAGAAGTGGCGCAAACCATTTCCTATTCAAGTTCATGTAGTCAGCTAGTCCAGAGTAATATTCATAGCGGGGAATCCAGGACGGCTCCTCAGCTTCACTCTGAGGGACACAGGGGTAGAAGAGGCGGAAGAAGAGGCCCTATAGCAAAGAAGGGTCAAGTTAGTTTAGACCCCCAACTGTTGATTTCAAACTGCAGAAGAGTTTATTACCAGCCATCTATATACTGTATAAGAATCTAGTCAACTAACAGTCAACACTAAATTGACACTAGTAGATAAGGGTCAACAGAATTCACAGGAAGAAGGCTGGATTTGGGTCTCTTGTGGCAACAGTGATTCTAAACCAATGACATGTTTTGACTCCACCTTCCAGCTGAGCCTACTCTTTTCCTATACAGTCCATCTTTGACAGACTTCAACCATCTCCCTTTTGGTACCTTAGAACTACCTCTCAGAACATACTCCATCACCTCCCTTATGCCTCTCAATTCCCTTTTTAATGCCTCTTTTCTGTGAATTCCTTGCCCTAGCCCTTCATTTTCCCCTGCCCCACTGCCACTCCAATATTTCTGCAGATGAGCCCAGGAAATATTGCCCGATGCAGTGTTTTATTTTCTTTTTTTAAGTCAAGTTTTTTATTTATATATAAGTATTTTGAATACAGCACATTGTCCGGGCATTTCATTTTACAAAAGAAAAAAACAGATATACTGATAGTAATAATGATCATACACGTTAATAATTATAACCATATTTATAATTATGTTAGCTTATTGATATTAATCATACTAGCATACATATAATTATGAACAACATTCATATTTTACTTAGATAACAATAATCTTTTGTCATCTAATTTCTGCCTTTTATCTCTAACCATTGATAAACTCTATTCCATGTTGAATAGTATATATTTATCTTTTATTTTCAATGTCAATCTATCCATCTCTGCACAGTCCAATATTTTCCAAATTATATTTTCATCTGGTGGTGTATTCTCATTTTTCCAATATTGTGCAAATACAATTCTTGCTGCTGTCAATAAATTTAACATTAAGTATATAGTCCCTTTATACTTATGATTCTGGTATTATACCTAACAAAAAAATTTCTGACTTTAAATCTATATGCTTCTTTATCATCTTTTCCAGCCATGCCTGTATTTTCATCCAATATTTTCTTGCTTTTATGCATGCCCGCCACATATGATAATAGGTACCCAGTATCTGATTACATTTCCAACATTCGGCGGACATGTTGTTAAACATTTTTGCTAATCTTGCGGGTGGCAAATGCCACCTGTAAAACATTTTATATCAGATGCAGTGTTTTCATTGTAGACAATCACACATGCTTATCATAGAAGTAGAATAGGCATATCGTCATGCTGTCCAAATGACCAAGGAAATGTCTTCAGACCCTGCTGGCTCCCTTGGCTAAGAAATGGAGATGACCACCATCCCTCATAGTCTAGAATAGGCAGATATCGAGTAGCTTAGAGACCCTTGAAATAGTAAATGAAATTCAAACATTAAAAGAGAAAAGTCTGGCCTCAGGTCTAAGGTTTGGCCAGCTCAACATTTCTGGGATATTTATTTGAGGAACTTTCAATTTTCCAGCTGATAAGTGCCTCATTCATTGGATGGTTATATTTGTTGTCATTCTTTCCATTATGTAGGCCAGGCTTTACACAAGGAGTGGACTGACACACCCTTTCCCCATGATGGCTCTTTCTGGAAAGCATAAAGAAGCTTTTCCAGCTTCCTGTACTTCCTCATTTATATGCCAACGGGTTTCTCATCAATTGCAATGATTCAACTCTTCTCCATGATATCATTCATACCTGCCTTCCTCAGTATGATGTGGACTGCAATTCCTGGAATTCTTCAGCTATCGGAGAGACAACGTATTTCATGGGTAACATCTTGGGTGAAGAGGAAGGAACTGGCCGAAATCCCCCCCAAGAAACTTCTGGGGTTGATGGGGAACCAGAACTTGGATCTTCCCACTCCTAGTCCAGCCCCTTCCCCACTAAATCGCCAGGTTCTTGGACTGAGAGGAAGGGACTGGCCCAAAGCTATAGGGAGTTTCTATGGCTGAGCAAAGATTGGCACTTGGGTCTCTCCATTCCTAGTACAATGTTGTTCACACTCTGTAGTGTAAGACTTCTTCAAACATTGAACAGCTGTGATGGAACGTAGTGTGGATTCCTAGGAGGGAGGAGTACATTCCAAATGAACTAAGAGACAACCCAGTCCAGGTATTTTGTGAGAAAGAAAGAGAGTGAGGAGAGTCCCTCCCTAACAGTTCCCAGAGTATATGGTAGATACAGATAGTAAAGTGCTTAGTCTGGCAAGATTCTATCTATAGGTGTGAAAACAACAAAGAATTTAGCTTGGAAGAATCACCATGTCTGTTAGGTATAACATTGATACCAAATATGGTTTGGGTGAATAAATATATAAAACTTAGATATCATGGTTTAAGTGCTTATCACTTTAAGCACAATGCTGCAGGCAATTAGCCGATTAAGGGTGCGGTTAGAAGTTACAATATAAGGAAGCATTAGAAGCTGGAAAGCTTACTGTGACTGTGACTTACTGTGACTAACTGTGAATACTGATTGTACTGTGCCTGTGACTGAGATGATCCTGTCTGCTACTGTTTGCTGATTTACTGCGAAATTCAACTGTTCTACTGTTTGAGCGTCTTGCTGAATATCCAGCGATTGTTCCTCTGGAGAGAGGCACCGGAGGAGGAGAAGATATCTTTATCGGCTGATAAAGATATTGTAAGGACTCTTAACTTGGACTGTAATAGTGAGTCTTACTGGATGGAAATATAGTGAATGACAAATGGACTGAATGACAATGCTTTAAACTCTAAATGGATTAAAAACTATTTAAACTACAAACAGTGTTTGTGTTCAGTGTGTGTATACTCTGGGGCCCTTCCACTCTCGTTTGGCTGCCTGGCTTGACTACTGCTGCAATACTCTGCTAGGGGTTAATCCCCAAACACTAACAATGTCATTCTTGGTTTTAGGGCCTGACAAAAATGATGTATTTGTTGTTCCCAGAATATATGGTAGTTGTAGATAGTAAAGTGCTTAGTCTGGCAAGATTCTGTCTATAGGTGTGGAAACTACCAAGAATTTAGCTTGGAAGAATCACCATATGTCATTCTTGGTTTTGGGGCCTGACAAAAACTATATATTTGTTGTCCACTGATTCATCTCTATCTGAGCAGATACTCATATAACTGTTGTATGGGAGACTAATATATTTGTTTATGCAGGTTGTCCTTGCTTAATGGACCCTTGTTCAGCAAGCATTTGAACTTACAATGGTGCTGAACGAGTACTACTTATGACCCATCCTTATAGTTGTGGCCATCGCAGCATCCCGAAAATCATGTGATCACAATCTGAATGCTCAGTGTCCCGCTCCCAATTATGACATCAGAGCGCCCACAGGGAATGTGATTGCCATTTGAAACCTTCGCTGCTAGCTTCCAAGAAGCAAAGTCAATGGGGAATCCAGCAAGAGATTGTAAATGGTGACTGTGTGACATCGCACTTAACAATTTTGCGGGATTCATTTAACAACAGCAACTGGAAAGGCTGGAATTGCCATCATTAAGTGCTGCAGTCCACAACTGCATTGATTAGCGACTGAAATTCCATCTCTATGGTCATTGTTAACTGAGGACTACCTGTGGTTTCCATAATAGGTCATGTGCCAATTTGACTTGAGCCAAGATAAAATATCTCCTGTGGAATATGGAAGATATTATAGAGAATTGGGAAGCTAAAAATTGTCCAGAGAACATATCCAATTGCACCAGACTAGTGTGGTAATTTTGGCTCTGTCATTTTCTAGATCTAAATTGAAAATGTTTAACTTCAATTAAGGCTTTATCAAGGCTGAGTAATGATATGACCAGGAGAGGCCACAATATGTCAGATCAGAATCAGTTCGATTCTCAGCGTCACAGTGACGAATTTACCGTGAATTTGATTTGGAAGATTACTTTTCATGGAATCCATGCTGCAGAGAAATTCATTGTATTTCCCTGTAGAAAAGTGGCAGTAAACATGTTTCTGTATTTATGTTCATATACAGGTAGTCCTCAGCTTATGACCACAATTGAGCCCAACATTTCTGTTGCTGAGATATTTGTTAAGTGAGTTTTGCCCCATTTTAGGACTTTTCTTGGCACAGTTGTTAAGTGAATCACTGCAGTTGTTAAATCAGTAACATGGTTGTTAAATGAATCTGCTTTCCCCATTGACTTTGCTTGTCAGAAGGTCGCAAAAGAGGATCCCATGACCCCCAGGGACACTGCAACCGTCATAAATATGAATCAGTTGTCAAGCATCCAAATGTAAATCACGTGACCATGGGGATGCTGCCACGGTCATAAGTGTCAAAAATGGTCATAAGTTGTTTTTTCAGTGACGTAACTTCAAAAAGTCACTAAGCAAACTGTTGTAAGGTGAGGACTGCCTGTACTTCTCCATTCTCAAAGACATGAGAATCTTAAGCACACAGAGAACAAGAAGGATGGATGAAGGGAGGGAGGCTAGCTGGGGAATTCTGTAAGTTGAAGTCCACAATCGAAGTTGTCGAGTCTGGAGAGCCTTGTGTGTTAGCGTTCCAGAAAAACAAACTCCACCACCAAAACTCCGAGACAGACATTTTCTCAAAGTTCCATTTTATTAGAGTTGTCATACTGTCACATCTGGGAAAACCTGAATCTGAGTGTTCCGTAATTGAAAATCAAAGATCCATCCCACTGCACCCCTCAGTCCATCACATGACCCAATCACCATCCGTTTTAGCTTGAGACATCCTCCAACCATTCCTTGTCCAAGGGCAGGATGACATGACCTTGACCGTAAAGAAGAATGCTATTATGTCTAACTACAATACACTCTAAGAAATCCCCCTCCCAATTTTTCAGGCATAGGAATATGGTAGCGTGGAAGCTTCTGGTGCTAATATGGCTTCCTAAACTGACACCTTGTCCTAGAACTGTAGTTCCCAACTTTTTGGGCACCAGGGACCAGTTCTGTGGAGAGAGTTTTTTTCCATGGACTGGAAGGGGCCTGGTTTTGTGTGCTGCCTGTATACCATG